TGATAGATTGTCACCACTCTGCCTCCTAGAAGACTTTTTAAAGTTAAGAGAACTTTATTTTTCCTGTCATTGCAGAGATTAAGAAAACCAAGCACTTCAGAGTCTGGGGGGGGTGTTTGTTCTTTAATGTGAAAATTAAATATTATCTTGAAATGAAGCAAAATTCTAAGGTGGTTCTGATCAGAGAGAACAGAAAATAAAGGTTTCTTTTCATTCTACTGATTCCACCCTGTTTACCATCAGGACCTAGCAGAGTTTTTAAGTAAAGTGTATAATCCATTTGCCCTTGTTATATTGAATATTTTAAGTCATAATAGGTTTGCAGAGTGCAGCTAAATATATTAAAAGAAGGAAAAAAGCTTCAGTTGAAGCAGTGTTGTCCTGTGGTATGATAGGAATTAGATAAAAAGCAGATGAGGAAGTACATTTTAGAAAAGTTTAAGTATTCCAGTTTAGGAGAAATATTACACTCAGCAGCGAAACTTCACAATGAGGTGTTTGTTGGGAGTTAGAGAGAGGTCAGGAGTTTTGGAGGCCTCCTGACTTTCTTGGTTTGCTTTCCCTCAGGTTTTCTGGGGTCACTGCATCAATGCCTTGATACACTCCCTCATTCTCTTCTGGTTTCCACTGAAAGTGCTGGAACATGGTAAGTGCTTTGTTATTTCTGATGTTAGCAAGTGGTGTTGAATCTTACCAGTGCCAGTGTGCTTATAGAGCTGGAGGTTACAACATGTTCTAGGAAATCTAATGATGATAGACACTCCAGCAGGCTGTAGCTGCTAGACTTGCCCATTTATCAACCCCAATTCTCAGAAGCCACTCTCCTTGCATTTGACATGGCTATCTTCCTTTATAGTGGCTTCCAGACCTAATCTTAAGTAAGTGTATGTCCAAAAGAGGCCTTACTGAGACATACTTTAGTTCTATGCCAAAAAGTCTATTTTCTTTCCTTTTCTAATGTATTCATTCCTAGTGTTGCATATTGCACAGTATTTTATAGTCTGTTTATTGTAGTATAGTATAAATGTAGTTTATTTTTAAGCATTTTATATCCTTACAATAGGGTAACATTTTGCTGTGTATCTTCTCAAGTCTTTTAAATTCTACAGTAGCCATTTCCTAAATTGCCACTCAAATGCATAGTGATTCAGGGAAAAGTCTTCAACCAACTCAGTGAAATCAGTGGAAAAGCTTAATTGACTCTGGTGGAAGTGGATCCAGTCCAGAGTTTGGAATATTCAGCGAATAGGATTTGCTATACCAGATAAGACTGATATCATTAGGTCTCGTATCCTGTAACCTGATATATTAAAGTTGTACATAACCTGTTACAGAATGCTGTAAATGATCAAGAGATACTGAAGCTACCCTTATCTACTCAAGAGATGATTAGTACTTTTTTAACAAAGTGAATTTCCATCAGAAAATGCAGATTTGTTTAAACTTAGTATTAAACTTTTGGTGGTCCAAGATAGAATTTCTAATTGAGGAAGGAGGCAGAAGAGAGGTGGGAGAGGGGGCAGGAAAAGAAAGTGTGAGTGTGACCCTGAAATAACCAATAATTTTGAGGGCACTCATTAAGTTAGGGCACTCATCTGGGCTGTGGGGAGAGCCAGGTTCAAGCTATTTATGTGCCTAACTTAGAGTAAGACCTTGAATTCTGTATGCCTCTCATCCTGGGTGAATGCCATAACTACTGAGTGATTGACTGCATGTGGGTGGGTCTCTCTCTTTTTCAAGAATATTTTGGAGGGCCTTTGTTTTAGTTCACATGCAAAACAGGAACTTTTTGAACTCTCAAAACATTTTTACAGGACAGGAAAACTGTTTCTCACCCGGCCCATGATGGGATTACTCCTATCTGACCATACATAATATACATAACAATCAGTATTATTTTTGGGTAAATTAAACAGCTTCTCTAAATTTAGCCACAGATTATTGTGGATTGATTTCCCCAGGGGTTCCAATAAAGGAAAAGTATTTATTTATTTATTTTCCTTGTTTGTTCTGTGTATAAATTTAAACTTAAGTCCAAGTGCTCATTTGAAGAGAGAGAGCTTTAATTTGAGCAAATGCAATAGCATGACTAGAACATTCCTCCCTCTCAAATAGCAAGAATTCCCTGTCTGAAAAATTATGCTAAATCTGAGCAGACAGCTCCTTTTATTCTCCAAAGAGAGATGAATACAAAGTTTTCAAATTTCTTTGTATTTCTAGGTCAAAAGCGTTTTTAAAGCTTCAGACAAAAAATATTTCACCTGTCCTGGGATAGTCTTTAATGTCTTGAGTTCCTTTGGATGCAGAATGCACATGTTTGAGGAGTGGGCACTTGTATAGATAGCCCTACAGATAAATATTAACTACACATCCTGATGATCTGCCCCATTAACAGGAATATCTTTCCTTTTAGGACTCCAGGGTTTCCAGAGTAAGGTCATGAAATTCAGTGTAATGTTACGATATTTAAAACAAATCTAATAATTATATGGAAAATTACTTGAATACTTTAGTATGTCCCATAATAATGAACCAGAGTAGTGCAGTTAGAGTTACTGGGCAGGATTGCTCTTGATCCATGATAACCAGTATGTCTGTACATAAGCACCTTTCACTGTAAACTGAAACAACAGATACTCAAGTAAGCAGCTTCTGGCATCAACAGGAATGCCTGGAAAGAAAGGTCTTGATTCTCCATTGCTCTGCACTTTTCTTTTCACTGAGATCAGTGAAAGGCAGAAAAATGGGTACAGAATGTGAGTGGTATGATTTTACACTGGTGCAATGATTACACAAGGCGAAAGGCAAATCTAATAGAAAGTTAGGACCAGTGAGTTCAGTGGGGAAATCACTAAGGTGATACAGATGCCAATGCCAAGAAACTAACCAAGCTGATTCAGAAGCAGGTTTAAATCATGCAGCACCTTCAGCAAATATGACAGTTACATTTGTCTAGCTCCATAGCCAACTTAAGCCAAAAGGGACCTGAAATGTCTTCAGTGCCAAGTCATGGGACAAAAGACTTAGAGGAAGAAAAGTGAGCTAAGATTCTGACCCCCGTTGATTCTTTAGCATCATTTTTTCACAATGATTGAGCAGTGAATCGGGACAGGGTACACAGTATAACTACTTTAGTTGGACTGTGAAGGTACAGACACATAACACCTGAACTGTTCTAACAATGTTACTGACTGGGAACTAGTTCACAGTTGTCCCTGGACAAAAGTGTCCAGATGTACACTGCTAAGGTTTCTGAGTAGAACCCTCACCTTTTTAGGGATTGCATTGCAATTGATATGCAGCCAGAGTGCAGGATTAACCAAACCATTGTGCCTTCCAGGGAGAAGTGGAGGGGTGGCTAGGTTTGGGGTGTGTGCATGTCTCTTGCTTTTGATTCTGGGGAGGATCGTGTACTTTGGGGGTCCCCCAAGATTTCTGTGACTTTTCAACCCCTACCTTGAAAGCTGTACTATCAGTTTTACCTCCTAGCTAAAGACTCTGGATTTTTGGGTGCCAGGCTCATTTGGAGTGAGGGGAGGGGAAAGCCTCACAACTTCCCCATCCTTTGGCAATCCCTCCAGCCCTCCCCGTCTCACTCCAGATGACCCTGGTACAGGGTTTCTAGCAGGGAAGTGAAATTAGCTGGGCAGCTTTCAAGGCAGGGGTTGAAAGACAAAGAGATCTTGGGAGGCCCCCAGAGCATGCAGCCCCCAGGAGCCACACAGACTCTGGTTACCTGGTGCTGCAGTGGATGGAGCAGGTGCTGAGAGGCAACAGGAGAGGGGGCAAGATTCTTACCTGTTTTGGGGACTTAAACTAGTCCTTGCTTCTGCTCCCATGGCACAGTGTTCCTGCCTTAGCTGGTGGGAGAGCTGGGACTGAAGGTTTGGGCTGTAAAGTCTTGCCTGCCTTCTAGAGCAGCCCCTGGCCCTGCATGTGGTTCTACTTTTGCTTTGTTTTGTTTTGTTCTTTGTGGGGAGGGGAGGCAAAGGTGAAGAGCAATACAGTTTGGGGTGACTGGAGCACTGACCAGACACTAGGTCAGGGGCGGGCAATTATTTTGGGTGGAGGGCCGCTTACTGAGTTTTTGCAAGCCATAGAGGCCCACATGACAGGCAGCCAGGGCAGATAAATATTAATTTTCTAAATGTTTTAGGAGCCCCATGGGCAGGATAGAACAGCCTGGCGGGCCACGTTGGCCCACAGGCCACATTTTGTCCACCCCTGCACTAGGTACAGAATGTTCTGTGTCCCCTCATAAGATTGAGGCACTTCACGAAGGACTGGCTTGCAGTAGTACTTGATTTTCCCAGTGTGCTTTTGAAACATTCCAGGAAGTTTAAGCTAGTCTTAAGTGACCTGTATGTCTAGACTCCTGGAGTTATTAGAGCATTTAAATCATTACATCTGTTCATACCCTGAGTGATTGCAAATGTCTTTTTACCTGAAAAGATCACACTTTAATGCACATGTGAAATCAAACTTTTAATACAGTTTTGTCCATTTAACAAAAATTTTGAGTAATTAAATTGAGCACAATAGAGTTCAAGAGAGAGAGCCAAGATTTGGAGACTCAGTGTGTTGAAGAACAGAATAGAGCTATATCAGCAGAGCTCAGTAGGGATGCTGAAAAGAGCCACTGCTGCCTCTTAAATGAGATTTGAGGTCAGTGTAAAAGGACAAGTTATATCAATAAATGATCTCAGTTTACTAATACAAGGTCCAGGCCTTCAGATCAGTCTGGTAAAGTGGTGCCACTTGCAGTAGTTAGTTATTCATGGGATCCAGCTCAAAATTTTGCTTTGAGTCCCTTTCCACTAGGCTGTTGTATAACTAAGCAACTTGAACCCTGTAAAATTATGAATAGTGATCATGCTTGGGGAATGTTTTGAAAGGTTCCATTCAGCGTGAGCTCATTTGGCATTTGAATGGTTGTTATGTGTTTTTCATAGGCCTCCATGTATATTCAACAAGACTAAGAATGACTAAATGGACATTTGAAGTATTGCCAAGGTTGGCCTTTTTGGATGATAGATTAACGTGTACTCACCCTTCTGCACACTTTCTGACTAGAGAAAGGGTGTGTCTAAGACTGAATGCCTTTCAGTTAATACACTAACACCCTTTAAGATGTTTTAGGCATTACATGTACCCATTGCAGAAGCATTTTTTGCTTCTCCTTTTCTAAATTAATCCTGTTGGCTACAAATCATCTGATTATATTACAGCTTAATTTCCAAGGAATAGCTATTACAAAAAATTATAGAGGTGTCAAAAAGCAATACACCATGCCACAGAGAACGTGGTGAAATTCCTCAGCTCTCTTTTGGCAATTTGTATGGTAATGCCTGGCAACCATTCCCTCTCACTAAAACAGCTTCTAACCACCAAGTTCTGTGCATGCTCTTTTTGAGCATATAACAGTTGAGGCTGTCGCTAACACAACTACTCTGCTACCAATTTCCCTCACACAGCTGTGTAAAGTATTTTGAGAAGTTTAGGCACTCTGCAAAGACAGTTTCAGGAGAGATTTTCAAATCCAGTTTCTTCCTTTAAAAGTCTCCAGGCTGTTGACATACAGATTGTTAAGTTTGGTGATAAACTTTTTTCTTTCTTTTTCAGATTCTGCATTCACAAATGGCCAAGCAATAGACTATTTATTTGTTGGAAACATAGTTTACACTGTAAGTTCCTATCAAGTTGTATCTGAGCCATTACGGTGAATATTATAATTGTTTTGGGTGATGCTGGTATAAATCAGAAATAAGGTATATGAGCATATGATCAAAATCAAACCCAAGTTACACATGTACTAAGTATTATCGTTCATTTTCCTTTTCATTCTCTTCTTTAGACGTGTAGTAGACCACATTTCCTAAAAATATTGTCTTCAGTAGTATATGTTGTTTTTAGGAGAAAAGAGAGTTGAAAATCTATTCTGCATAAATACAAAAGATAATTTTCCCTCATTTTCTTTCTTTCTACAGTATGTCGTCATTACTGTTTGTTTGAAAGCTGGTTTAGAAACCACAGCATGGACTAGAGTAAGTATTCCTCAGAAACTTTTTTGTTATTCTTTTAACTTACTCTTTCTTGCACACCGTATATTTTGAACATGGAAAAGGTTTTTCTTCAGTAACTACTGAAATAACTTGGGAACATAACCTGTTACATACTCTATATGGCAGTAATGCACAACAAAAGCTGTCCAGTAAATGAGCAACTAGTATGTGATGCAAAACCCAATGAAGTCAATAGGGAAGAAAACCCTTAACTTCAGTGGTTTTGATTTAAAACTTTGCTTTATGTTTATATACTTGCCCGTGCCATTTTCTTTGTTTTTTTTCCAAATATTGTCACTTTTTGTGAACCAAAAGATGTGTGTTAGATCTGAGGATAGTTGAAAACTGTGCGCATTCTCTGCACTTCAGGGTCTCATGTCATTTACTGAAATGACTAATCACCCTTTGCTGTCCAAAAGGTAGATCCAGACGTACAGCTAACTAGTTTTGGGCCCTAGACAAACCTCCCTAGGAGGGGCCCAAGCATCAGGGAGCTGGGGGTGGGGAGGCTGATTAATCTTACCTGCCCCGGGGACTCTAGCTGTTGCTGCCGTGTTGCTATCTGCCCGCCCCTGGCTGTTGGTGTCATGGTGTCCCATTCTCAGCTGCTAACGGCCACTTCTATTGCCCAGCTCATACCGCTGGGAAAAAGACTCCCGTGACAGCTGCCATTCCAATGCCCCCTCTAAACTGGTGTCATGGTCAGCCATCCCAAATTACAGTACTGGGTAGATACCCCATGGTGACTAAATCTACAGCAATTCCCTTCTCAAATCCAGTGATTTTCTGCCTTGAATACCTCTCAATTTCTTTTTGCTTTTAAAAAAAAGCTATATTCAGAAATATTAAAACCCAAATTTTGGATTATTCCATTTTTTGCTCCCAATTTAAAACGTTTTTAAAGAGTCTTGATTTTCAGAAAGCACGAAACCTCCACATCCTGACTCTCAGGCTTGTTTGAAATTGAGCACACTAAAAACAAGACCCATCTGAAATTGTAGGCCCTTCAGTATTCCTCACTTTCATACGTGTTAACAGTTACAAAATCCTTAAGATAGAAGCTGTGTCTATTTTAAATGTCTGTAACATGTGTTGCACAGCATTATTCTTATTTCCAGAGCAACAATCAAGTTACACAGCAATGCAGTCTAGTATTCAGAGTGCAACCATGTAATTGAGGGAATTCTGGCTGCTTCTGCCATTGAGACCCTGTTCTCCTAGACTCCCCTAATGGGCTTGACCAAGTCTCTTAACTTCACTGCCTCAGTTTACCCAATTTAAAAATCTTTCATAGGCCCACTCTACACATGCAGATATAGGAGCCATGGGATCTAATGTGTGTTCCACACAGTCACACAGCTTGCCATGTGACACAGTGACACATGCATTACATCCCATTATGCTTTATTTCCAGAGCAGGAGAAGCCTGATCCTGGGCTCTCCCTGCATTGAAAACAAGCAGCCTCCCACAGCTGGGAGCTCCCTCTGCTGAGGGGCCTCCCAGCTGCAGGGAATGCACAGTAGGGCTGTGCAAAGCTTTGGGTGCAGATTTGATTTGGAGGAGATTTGGCCCGATTTCAGCAGCCAAATCTCCGAATCTGAATCAAACCAGGAGACCGAGAAAAAGGTTCAAATCAATTTGAAACTCTCTGAATCAATTTGGAAAAGATTTGGAGAGCTTCGGAGATTCAGGCAGTCCCCACTCACTGCCGGAGGAAGCTGTACCTGGACTCCATGCTGGTAAGTAGGGGTCGGGAGAGGGACGACTGGAAGAATGGGGAGGGGACCATGGGGGGACCCCACCATCCCCTGCCTGCTCCCCCGCAATGGCTGCCCTGCCTGGCCCAGTTCTTTTAAAAAAACAAAACAAAACAAAAAAAAAAACACAAAACCCTCCACTCATGGGCTGCTGCCAGGTGGGACGGCGATCCCTGCTGCCCCCACTGCATGGTGGGCTCTGCCACAAGCCCCCATCCCCTGCCCACTCTCCCTGCCCATGGTCCCCTGCCTGGCCTCACCTTCCAGCTCTTTAAAGAAATTTTTAAAAAGCCCTGACTCACCAGCTGTTGCAGCAGCTGTCGGGGCATCTGGGGGCTCGTGGCAGAGCCCCCATAGAGTGCAGGGCAGTGGGGATCGCCCCCCCACCTGGCAGCAGCCAGTGAATCGGGGCTTTTTTTTAAGAGCCAGGAGCTGGGCTGGGTGGAGGGAAGCCATTGACACAGCTGAGAGAGCAGGCTGGGGATTGGGCCTGTCTGATTCAGAGATTCGGCTGATTTGGCTGAATCAATTCAGGGCAGTGATTCGAATCACTGAATCAAATCCCGGCCCCCCAAGCTGGCCAAATCCGAAGTGAATACTAGCTGCTTTGCACAGGCCTAATGCACAGCCCTACAGCTGATGGTACTCTCAGTCCCGGCAACTGTAGGGTGCTGCTGCGATCTCCCATTCCTGGGGGTGTGTGAAGCATCCCACAGCTGGGAGATCACAGCAGCTGTGCTATCCCAGCTACTGTGGAGTCCTCCCGCAGCTGAGAGATGGCAGTGGCTGTGATCTCCCAGCCCCATGGATGCATTGTGCTCCCCAGGGATTGGAATATCTCAAAAGCTGTAGTCTCTGAGCTGCAGACTGCCTCCACGTGCAAATTAAAGCTGGATAGAACCCAAATATAAAGTTATATATTTTCAAGCAATAACTTTGTAGCTGGTTGGACATTTTAAGGTGCCACAGATACTTTGCATGTGTAGCCAGTCTAAATGTATTGTAATTAACAAGTTAATTGCATAATAGATAGAACATGTAGAGGGCCTTACAGCCCTTACACAGGGGTTATTAGGGTTAATGTTTGTGCTTTAGATTGAAGATGAAAAGTGCTATTTAAGTGGTTCATTTTATTTAATACCTCTGAATGTGTCAACATTCTTTGCCTTGTTTCCTCATCAGAAAACAATGAAGGGCCATAAGCACTATATTTCTCATGTTGCCTGTGCATAGGGATTTTTATTATTATTTTTCTTCAGAGTTGCATCATTTTAACATGAAAAAGCACTTGTTAAAAATGTACACTACCACAAATTTATAAATAAACAAAAATCAGCTACATAGACACATGGAGCTTCTAAAAATCCTATTATATTATGAATATTTTTTCCTCACCTCTTCTCTGGCTAATAATCCCATGTGAATGAAAAGGCAACAATTTCTATTTACTTCTTTTCTGAATTTAGCCAAAAATGGTACTTATTTAAGTTCAGTAAATCCCTGTGGTGATAAATTCTAGAACTTTATAGAGAAAAGTTTAGAATGGGTAAAAAAAAAAAAAACTTCCTTATGGTTTGCTGCTTCTTTCTTTTATTTAAATGCAAGTCATGTTTCTGGTTGGGTTTTTTTTCTTCCCCTTGATTGGGAAAAAAAAAAAAAAAAAAAGTATCTAAATATGCAGTTCTGAACTCATTGCTCAAAGCTTGGGCACTGTAGTGACTTGCTTCATCTTGGGGCTTGATGTTGGTAACAATTATTGTTTCAGCTGCAAGTGAATCAACACATGAAGAACCTTCAAATTACTCAGAGTATTAAATGTATGACTTTGAGTTAAGCTTCTTCTCCATCATCAAGTGGATTAGTTACATGTGGTTTAGCCTCAAGAGTAAGGGGGGGAGAGAGACTCCGCCAACATGAAAAACACGATAGGTTCAAATGAACACACTAAATAAACGACCAACCTAGTAACACAGCAGTTCTTATCCTGACTTATCTGTTAGATAGCAGATAGAGAAGAGGTCTCGCTAAAGGTAGTTCCATGATGTACAGCAAAAACTTCACAGTAGCAACATTTAGAATTTCTCATTTTTTGTTTATATTTAATGCTGCACAAAGCTGGTGGTGAAACACTTATAGCTCAGTTTCTTACATCAGAAGATATTGCAGAATAATTTAGATAAATATGACTCGGAAAATAGTTGAAAAGAGAAAACTAGAAACTATGGGACAGATTTTCATTTGACTTGCTTCTGTCATTTTTTCTTACATTCCACATATCCCCAAATAAGACATGCACCTTGTTTGGGGAATGCACAGCCATGAAGGTGAGGATGGGAATGTTAAAGTTGTTATGAAATTAAGCATCTCATGAAGTGAGCAAAGAGAAAAAGAGGTGATATAGTGAGAGCAAGTGGTGAACACTTCTTAAAAAGTCAAAGAACAGCCATACAGATTTTCTCTTGCTCATTTTTATTTGTACTGTTTTTGTATCCTCAAGCCTTCAGTGACTTGGAGCAGAACATTCAGCCTGAGCTGTGCTGAGTCTGCTGGCTGATTATATGAAATTACTGTAGCTCAGGGGGAAAATCAGTCTTTCCTGAAAAGATGACATTTTCTCAGTTCTTTCTTCCCTACCCATGTAAATTGCACTTTTCTTTAAAGATGAGCTCCTGCAGCAGTTTTAAAAGGGCTGTATTTTGGGAGCTGCTGAGCACCCTTGATTTCCACTGAAAGCCCCAGTGCCAGAGAGCATATATGTACATCCTGAAATCCATCCCCAGTTAGGTAAGGGTTGAAGCAAGCGTTCACATGTTTTTCTGAACTAGAACCAAGGTCAGTGAGAGTTGATGACAATGACAGCTTGTGGGTTTGAAACCACTGCAAACTGCTGGTAGCTTTTACCTGGCTTCAACTGATGGAATTTGTTCTGGGAGCTTGAGTCATTTTAAAGTGAAATAAATATTTAAAACTGTTGCCAAAGAGGCTTCTTGGGAGGCAGCGTGGTCTGGAAAAAAAAGCACAGGTTTGGCAGAGGGGAGCTTGTGAGTTCAAGTCTCTGCCCATGGCTAATGCCTCCAGCTTTCGGCTTCAGTTCTGGTGTCTATAAAACTGAGTTAATATTTTCAGAACTCCCTCATCAGAGTGCTTTTAGGGTTAAATAGTTAATATTATAAAGCAACTTGAGCATACTTAGCTGTATAAATGCTTAATACTATAAGAAGTTGAAATTTTACTGTTAAAATGATTTATTATAAAATTCTGTGCTAGTTTGTGTTGCATCTTTATTTCCTTTTAGTTATTTCAATTTTGCCTTTTAACGCTCTACTAGCCATCAAACTGCTGTATGTGTGCATAACACTGCCAACTGGCACACTTAGTTCCAGGTGAAATACCTGATGAGGTTTTAAAATGTTTCACTCAGAATGGTAATCAACTTGTTCATAATGTGTACTAATGTTTCTTTCAACGCATGATCGTTATTAAAATTAAATTATATTAATAAGAAAATACTCTGAATGTCTACAGTTTCTTTCATCCTAGGATGTCAAAGAACCTTACTAGCATTAATTTAGTCTTATGTCCTAAATGTAAAGCAAGTATTATCAAATTTATTTAATGGGTGAGTAAGTTGCAGCACAAGGAGTTTTAAGTGATTTGCCTCCCCTGCCTTATCGCAGTAAAGTCAGTGACAGTTTCAGAAACAGAACTGACAAGTCCTGTCTCATGGTCCGTGTCCTCTAGTGACTAGAAAAGTCTCTGTCCTTTATAAATGGCTCCACCTGTGAGTGGTACCACATGAAGCAGAATGTATTTCTTCAGTATTCAAAGTATTCGCCTTAAGTGTCACAACTCTCCTGTTCCAATAATACATGGAATTATGACATCACACCATCTTGTATTTATTCAATATATGGTGTACATTTGTTTTGATCATGTTGCTTTTATGTGGCTTCCTTTACTGTCATCCTGTCTGGTTTCTTTGTTGTTTGCATTTTTTAAATTTAAACTGTGGACTGTTTGGGTGTCTTGCCTATCTACATCTCATCTGGCACTCCTTTAAAAAAGTAATCAGTAAATAATAGATTATGCTTATTGTTATTAATTTGTAAAAAGAGAATATGATTCTTGCAGAGTGAAGGTTTCTTATTGGAGCACCTGGCTTATCTGTATACATTCTGTGATATAATTAATTTGTGAATATGACCTTTAACCCAAGCCTTTGAAAAGGTTCACCTAAAGCTTTACTTAAGCCGGCATATACCAGGAGGAAAATAGAAACCAGGAGTCAGACTAGATAAGTCAGAGTTTTGTGAAAGTCTGAGTTTCTGGAGCTACAATAAAACAAATTGGCTGAGAAAGCTGTGTGTCTTCTCTGTCATGGAGAAAAAATTAAAGAGGGGAGCTGCTATGTGCTCTTTAAACAACCTGTGCTTCTGGCCTAAAACCAAGTACAGTATATAGCTGCAAGTGAGACCTGCAGAGACTTGAATGGAAAAAGAGTGAGTAGAAAAAGAAAAATAATATCTGTGTTAAAAAGAGAGTGGTACTATGTTTACTCCATTTCTCTCTCTCTCTCTCTCTCTCTCTCTCTCTCTCTTTCCTGTCCTTACAGTTTAGTCACCTGGCAGTTTGGGGAAGCATGCTGCTCTGGCTGGTGTTCTTTGGAGTATATTCTACCATCTGGCCCACTTTCCCCATTGCACCAGACATGCTTGGACAGGTTAGTTTTAATGCTTAGGTATGGGAGATTGGTGGGCATTCATCTTAACAGCAGCATTTTGCCTTCAGTACTTTAGGCAAGTTATGATATCAACAGTGCTTCTACAACAATAAAATGATGCCTGGAAAAGAAAGGCCTGCAATAAGGGTACTTAAGTTGTATTTAAAACCTCTTCTGTGTTTGTAAAATTCAATACCGATTTGACTTCAGTTATATACAGTATTTAAAATGTGAGGCATATACTGTATGGAAGCTTCAAGTTGGGTGGATGCAGGATTGTGCCTTTCATTCCTACTATTCCTTGAGATGTGTGCAGTAATGAAGGGTTGACAAAATGGCAGACTAATACTTAATATTTTTTAAAATATAGATCCTCTGCCTGTTTGGTTTTCTATTATTCTATTTTCCTTAACTTGTTAAAAATGAACAAAACCACACCTGAAGACAACTCATGGGATCACCAGGAGTTAGAAGGGAAGCAGATATGTTATTGGTCCCCTTTTGCAGCATTAGTGGAGTTTTGGATTTGTTGATTCAACGTCAGTTGAATTCCAGGTGGTAAAATTCTCCCTTTGGTGTCATTATTTCAACCCTTGGTGAACTGATTGAATCATGAGCCTGTCAGAATCACTCAAGAGCCCAGAGAGGATTTAAAATTAGAAGCCTCTCAGGAACAATGAAGGGTTAATAAATATACAGTAACATGCCATTTAGAGCAAACAGAAATGTAATCCGGGTCAGTAACCATTAAAGATTATTTTGCAGCAAGTTTGGAGTTATAAAGATCTAAAGATTTAATTTGTAAAGATGTTACTCTATATAGAGAGAAAAGGAAAAAAACAAAATGGTAGGAGTTTTACCAAAGCACCTAAGCACATTTAATTTTTATAAAATGTCATCCTTACATATCAGATAATATGACAAGCAAAGCAGCACAAGCCTAATGAATGATGTGTAAGGTTACTTATCACATAATTTCATGTAGTAAACAAGAGCAACTCTAGCATCATTCTGCTTCAGGATGGTTCGGGCCTAATAAATATTTTATTATATTGTGGTATGATGCAGAGGATAATGGAGGTTGTAGTATATTGTCATGGACAGCTTTCTAAAGCAAGGAGAAAGAGTGACAGCTGACACCATGGGATCAGCTAGCATATGACTGACAGAGACAAAACCAAGTTCCTTTGATAGTATTTCTTAGTGGTCCTCAGTGTGTTTCACAACGTACATTTGCATCAGCAGCTCTTACTCACATTTCCATAAATTAAGCTGAAATTTGATTTAGAGTATCACACGCAGCTATGAATCACTTTTGCAGTCCACCACAGCAGACTTGTAATGCCGCCATTAATGTGTCAGCATTTTTAATCTGCAAATGTCAGGGTATGCTAGTCCTGCATATTAGAAGGCTCAGCTATGGGGTTTACAATGCAGTATATTTCAGAGGACTTTTTTTTTTTATTGCAAAAACAAAAAAATTCAGCATCATAGTTGTGGTTAACATCTGTTCCAGCATAACCCACGGGTCCCAGAACAAAGAAGCGTGGTGTTATGTAACATTTTATTTTTGCCTCGATACTTTTTCTAGAAAATGTTTTTTCTATTTAAACTATGTTATTTTATACTCTTTTTGGTTTTCTGAAACAAATGATATCTTGAGGTATGACATTAATATCTTGCTGAGAGTAAAACAATACTGTCGATTATTCTCATAGAGAGCACAGCATTTACATTGTGAGTGACTGAGTGAGACCGTTAAGTGTAGTCCAGTATTTGTGGAATTGTGTTCCTGGATCAGTAATCAGCTCTCAAAGATGTTAAAGGGTTGTTCATCATCTTAGCAAGAATACAGAAGAGGTTTGTGGGGAAAGGTAGTTAGATTGAATGTGCTGTGTGGGTTTCAGCATAAGATTACTTTAAATAATACCATCCTGTCATAGTGTTGTTACATATTTTTCAACTTCCAAAAATGAAAGAAGACTCCTAAGTTAGAGGGAACTTGCATAGAACCTGCCATAACTTGCACAGAGACTCTTGAGAAATCAGTTGCTGTCATAATACCAATCCATGGTCAAATGACTTGGGACCATGCTAGGCTCCAGACTGAAAAATGGATGGTTTTACTCATTTTCCCAGACTAGTTCAAATATCCCTTTGTTCCTGTTGTTTTGCTTTCTATGGTTGTAAGTAATCAAGATGTATAAGAAAGTGGGAAATGAAGAACTTATGTTTTATTTTTAAAAAAAATCCTTCTTCATTATTGCATTTATCGACATTATATATAGACAAAATCAAAGTTTAAGCAGACTACACCTGCTGACTTTAATTAAAATGCTAAACTAGTGCCCATATCAATGAGTATTTCCCACAATGAGTCAAAAACATGACATGCAAAACATTTTATTCCATTCATTCGCTAAATACTTGCATGGAGACTCTTGGATCATTGGGCATCTGAATAGATGTATTGTTTCTGCTGGGGTTTATTAAACCATTTTGCTTAAGTATTTCTTTCTCTTGTCCATTATATTTGGAGTGTTCTCACAGAGGGGAAAATATCGTTTAGCTTGGGGGCAAAGGGAAACAACTACTAGAATTAAAGAATTATTCTCTGCTATCAAAGAGACAATGGATTTTTTTGTTTGTTTCCTTTCAAGCACTTCATAATACAATAAATGGAACATAATAATAACAAGACTAAGCAGTGATAAAATCCCAGCTGAACTTAATGGAAGCTTTCCAGTAATAAAAGATATCTGAAACTGGAAATAAAGTAGAAAAATCTTTGGTAGCTTTGGGGGCTTTTAAATCTATATGATCCTTTTCCTAAACAGAACCAGAAGTGGATGAGTGTACCTCCTAAAGGCTTAACATGATCTATGCTTGGTCCTCTTTTTTCTGGAGGGTCTTTGCATTATTTTAAGAAAAAATCTACCTTTTATTATTCTCACAAGGTAGTAGAATTCAAGAAGGAAAGTGATCTACCCTCCCTGTCTCTGCTTGCTCTTTAGAGTCAGGCGCATATACCAATTTGGACTAGATATTTTTTGAGTGAATGCTTCTGGAAGCAAACCATGTTACATACATTTAATACCAAGCTGATCTTTTTGCCATTTTTACTAGGTAGAAGTTACTGGCACAAGTAGACCTGGACTGTTTCTATTTTTTATTCATTATATATTTTGGCTAGATAGTGCCATTAAGAGAAGACAGTTGCTGAGAGATACTGCCCCAGGGATAGCACTATGTGTTTCCCAGATATGCAGAAACTGCTTGCCGCCTTCTGAACTCCTTCTGGGGCTGCAGCTATTAACCCCAGCCAGCCTGCCCAGTTGGCTAGTGGATCAACCATAGCTCTGTCTTCCTACCCCTTAGTGGGGACTGGAACAATTCTGCCAGTTCCTTAACTGAGTCACATAAGTGTTAGGAGAAGAAGCTGCTTGTCCTTTTCTGTTGAATGAATGCCCTTTGTAAAGTCAAAGCAGACAGGCTTTGGGCCTGTATGAATGAGAATAACATATGGAGTTCTACTGGTTAGAATAAAAAGAAAATATGAGCCCTATCAAACCTTAGGTCTTAATCTGTGTACCAGCTGGGTCAAGAAGACTCCCAATCCTTCCTTTTCTCATGTTATACTATTGTTTACTTAGGTGCTTTATGGGAAGCTTATGCATTTCTCTGAAGCATCTGGCAGTAGGTATTGTTGGAAGCCGGAAACCATTGATCTGTTCTGGTTTTGTAATTTCTATATTATCTTCTCCATGTAACCCTCTTGCATTTGTCTTTGCCTCATTAATCAATTAATCCTGTCATTAAAAGGTCTCAAAGGTGATTTGCATAATACATAGGTTTCACTATCAACTTTTTATTTTTTTCCCTTTCTTTCTAAAGAGTCTTGTCCTGTGGTTAGTCTGTGGTGTGAGGCATTCAGTGTTTTGGAGGTTTTTCCTCACTGGATGATGTGTTGTATGCAATCATGTCTAAGACTTGGGGATTTAAGGCTTGTTTTGACTGAAACCATGCTATTGTGCACACGGATTGACGTTGCCATTTCCACTGTCTTATAGATTTGAGGTCATTTACTGAACTTGTTGTTGGAAGGACAAGAATTGATACTGTCCCTTAGTGTACATGTCCACTTCTAGCTTCAAACAAGTTGTGCTTACAGAAAAAGAGGGACAAAGAAACTAAGAAAAAGCAAGAGGAGATTCACTGACACGTTGACCAAAAATCATATTTGAAAGCATCAGCTTTGCCATTATTAAGTGAAAACAGCTCAAGGGTCAGGGCCATTTCAGTGGACCTCCTGCATGCATATATACTTTGAGAGATTATTCCAGTCTCTTGTAGCAATGTCAGTCTTATTTTTTTTTCTTTTTCCTGTTTTGTTTTTCAGAAGTCCACTTGGGCTGAATTAAATAAGGTCCTAGGTGCTAGATCTCTCACTTGGCAGGTCTTTGGCTCTTACATAACAGTTTAAGAAAGATTTTAAGGCTTCTCCCCTTTCTGTTTTTTTACTTGAGACTATTAAAATCCATTTTGAAACTGCAGTGGAGTGTCCTCTTCCATGTCCCATGGTAGTGCTTTGGTAGATCTATTTCTTTGTGCCAAAAGTATGGCAAAAGAGGTATCTATACTTGGCAGAAGCTTCTTTACGTTTCCTGCTCAGGTTCCAGTAACCTGATGTAGCCTTCCTCAGTCCTTTCATCAGATGTCTAACTTTTGTAGAAATAATGGTTTGACTGGCCAGGACTGTGAAATTATAGAAGAAACTATTGGTTATGCAAACAGTGATTTAACTAAAATCTAGTATGATTATAATATTGGACTCCTGCTAAATTTATATTAATGCTAAGTAGTGGGGAAAGAGGAGCCTGTGCAGAAGATGAGCCTCATTTTTTTCTCAGTGCTTCATATTCTTTAATATTTCAGTGGCCGTGATAAACCAACTTCATGCTGCTGTTCTTCTAAATCTTTACTCAGCTGTTGACAATTTT